GCTCCTCCAAAGGGCACCCTGAAAGTGAAGACACACAATTTGTGGTATTAAAACAATGGTCTAAAATATTCAGCCACAATTTTAATATTATGTTATGATGGATGAATAAGGGAAAATAACAAAACAATATTATATCATGCATACATTATTTTATTGTTGCCTGAATGAGAATAATTTCTGATTTGCTTCCTGTTGATAGATAAAAAAATATTTTAATAAACTGTATCATGATCAAACGTAAATGAACATTTTGTTTTGTCTATGCTAAATAAAGCAATTAATACATGACATTTCAACAGATTTATTTGGGAGTAGAACTTGTAATGAACAATCGATTCTTTCATTGAACTACAAAAACATGAATGCTGAGTAAAATTGGTATCGAAAGTATCGGTCCGCACGGTCACGAAGTTGCTGTGGGCTTCACACCGCAAGGCACAGCCATGCTACTAGCCGTGCTAACTAGCTTCTTGTCAAAAAAAGAAAAGAAAGAAAACTGCCAGCGGAGTTTCTTTGTATACCAATCATTGGCGTCCTCTTGAGCTGATGTCGACAAACTACCTTCCACCTTCCGTGTTTAAACTCAAGAGAAACAAAAGCTATCGCAAGCCAAAGTATTCACTATTACACCTATTTTTAACACGTTTTCGATTATTTTGCGCCGTTTAAATGCCGTGAGATCGTCTCCCCTCTCTCACGTTCACTCTGCGTTGTGTTGTTAGTGATGGACGCCACAACCGTCCTGGTTTTCAATGTTTTTATTGCTGATCAAATAAAAAAAAGCACATCAGGCATGGAGCGAGCCAGGCGCGTCACAACTACTGCCGAACACAGGTAACCACACTTAACACTGGACACAAAATGGGATAGCCCGCACGTGACTGATAACATTAGTTATAGCGTACTGCACCTGCAGCCACGCTAACTTACTTCAGTGTCTCCACCAAAAGTTTTACAGAGAACAAAACCATGTTCTACTATGCTGCCGTCAGTTGATTAACGTTATACCGTTACGTTGGTGCTTTTTTATATCCTAACTTTAGTTATTTTTATCTGGAAAAACTGCAGCCCTCCCACTTACATGCCAGCACGGACCAATGTGGCGTAATGCTAACTTTAAATTAACTTATGAACAGTAACATATCTTGCGTCAAACTATCAAAATACATGCAGACTTATATATTATCACAAATTTAAAACAGAACGGTAATAACTTACCTGTGAAATGACTGTCGTACGTACTACACCCAAAAATTGTCTCTGCTACACCTTGCTCTGTGATCCTGTAACGTCCGGAGCGGGAGCCAGTCCTGTTGTAGTGTGCGCATGCGTCGTGCATGCGTTTCAAAATACACTACACTTTCAGAGTAAAGTTTATGTAGTATTTCTAAGTTTATGTACACACAACTATTAAACATTTAAATAGTATGAGGAAACCGAAGTAATGTATTACGTTAATAAAATGTTTAATTTTACTTAAGAAACTCTAGTTCTCACTGAATCTTAAAAATACAAGGTAGAAATTATGACAGTTACTCTAATAGAGTTTACTGCACCAAAAAGTCACTTTTTTCAGTGTATGATATGAAGTTTATGTTTTAGTCCAGTTCTGTAATTGTGGATCTGACAGAGGCAGACGATTTTCTGTATCGTTCCTTAGGGCAGCGGGGTTGAATGAGTCTGTTGCTGAAGCTGCTCTTTAGCCTGTCCAGTGTCGTGTGGAGGGGGTGAGAGGGGTTGTCCATGATTGCCAGCAGTTTTGCCAGCATCATCTCCTCCACCACCTCCTCCAGGGTGACTTAGATCTTAGGGCCAACGACAGACTCGGCCTTCTTAATGAGTTTGTTCAGTCTGTTGGTGTCCTTTGCCTTGATGCCTGCACCTCAGGACACAAACAAGATGGTGCTCGCCACAACAGACTGATAAAACATCTGCAACATCGTGTCTTGTAGATGGCCTCTGAATTTGTGGACCAGTCCAGTTTAATCAAATTCCATTCAATTTTATTTGTATGGCGCCAATTCATAACAGAAGTTATCTCAGCACACTTTTCAAATAGAGCAGGTCTAGACCGAACTCCTTAAACATTTACAGAGACCCAACAGTTTATTGTCCAGTGTGACACCCAAGTACTTGTATGCAGACACCATATCCACGTGTCCCACCGATACTGACAGGAGAGGGCAGAGGGTTGTTCCTCCTAAAATCCACCACCATCCCCTTTGTCTTTGCTACGATTAGCTGCAGGTGGTTCCCCCCCACACCACTTCACAAAGCGGTCGACCAGGTCCCTGTACTCAGCCTCCCTCCCACCCTCAACACACCCCACGATTGCCAGGTCATCAGAGAATTTCTGAAGATGACACGACTCAGTGCAGTACTTAAAGTCTGCAGTGTAGGTGGTGAAGAGGAAGGGAGACAGTACAGTTCCCTGGGGGGCCCAGATGTTACTAATCAGACAGTCAGACATGCAGTTCTTTAATCTCACAAACTGTGGTCTGCCCGTCAGATAGTCATCGACCCATGTGATGAGGGGAGCACCCACCTGCATGTTCTCCAGTTTGGCCTTCAGCAGTCTGGGCTGGATGGTGTTGAAGGCGCTGGAGAAATCAAAGAACAATGACGCGGACTGAGGTGTTGGGTCTGTCCAGTGAGGAGTAGGCCTTCTGCAGCAGGTAGATCATGGCATCATCAACCCCCACATGGGGCTGATATGCGAACTGCAGGGGGTCTTGCGATGCGCACACTAATGGTCTGAGGTGTGCCAGGACCAGTCTCTCCATTACCTTCATGACATGAAAGGTCAGTGCTACTGGCCTGTAGTGTAGTGTCGCGACCGCCACGCGCAAGTATAAATAGTTACGGCGCTCCCGTGACATCACAAAGTCGCGCTACAGGTCAGGAACGGCGAGTATATAAGAGCCTTTAGAGTTGAACCTATTGAAGAACTGGTTCAACTCGTTGGCTCGTTGTTCTTTCCCCCCAGCTGCTTTACGCATCTTTAACATTTGCTTACAGCAGGTCCAAGGTCTTATTGTCTCTGGTGGTGCATGTGACAAACTGGTAGAAGGTTGGGAGTGTGGATGACAGAGAAATGGGGTTGAAGTCCCCTGCGATTATGATGAAGGCCCCATGGTGTTTTGTATTTAGTCCTGCAGTCACAGTGTGGATGACGTCACACGCTGCTTCTGCTTTCCCAGAAAGAGGAATGTAAACAGTGACAGCGATAACACTGGAAAATTCCCTCAGCAAATAAAATAGACATAGTCCGACAGCGACGAGCTCGATGTCCGGGCTGCAGATACACTCTTTCACAGAGACTCGCCTGGGCTTACACCACCTGTTGTTTACGACCACGGCAAGTCCCCCTCCTTTCTTCTTGCCGGTCCTGGCGGTGTCTCTGTCAGCTCAAACTGTCTGGAAGCCGAGAATGGTGACGTTGGAGTCCGGTATCTGCTCGTGTAGCCACGTTTCCATGAAACACAAGATACTACACTCCCTGTACTCCCTCTGTGTTCTGGTGAGCGCTTCCAGTTTCTTTCTTTCTTTTCTTTCTTTCCAGGCACTTTATTTGCCAAAGTGCCTTACGTTTCCTGTGATGACTGCAGAGATGTAGGGTTTAAACTTCCTCTTCTTCATCCTCTCTTCTTCATCCTCCATTTAATCCCCGCTCTGCAGCCTCGCTGTCTCGTCTTTAGCTCCTCTGGTATGACGGGTCTCTCTCTGGCCAAGAGTCTCGGGTGCCTCAGGGCAATCAGCTGGTCGCCGGTGTAAACAATGCCTGCGGTGTTGCAGGCATGGCTCCCAGTCATCCGGAGACACCAAAGTGCAATCAACAGTGGTAAAAAGTGCCTGAACTACTGAAAAAAGCATCTCTGCGTTGTGTGGTGCGAAGATGCACAGAGCAGTGTATAAAAATAAAAAACAAGCTACAAAACAACTAAAAACACTTAAAACTGACAGTAATACCCGGAGCTACTACAACAGGCTCCCGCTGGGACGGCACCATTTTGCAGAGAAACAAACTGAACTAACGTTAGTGGCAGCTTGGCTCGCACCTCCTGGATCTGCCAAAGAGCATCTAACAAACTTTTAAGGTGAAACTGCTCAATTCAGTGTTTTCTCCAGTTTTAGTCAACGGGTCTTGTTTGTTTTTGGAGAGGAGGAAACCTCTATGGATAATTTGGCCCCTCGCACTATTTCACACTGTCATAAAACTTGTCTTTTGTTATTATCCTATTTTTAATAGGACAAAGGGTGAGGGAGTTTTAACTTTGTGCCTTATTGCAATATTGCAATTTAAAAACAAATTTTACGAGGACCTTACTTTACATGTACAGCCTGACAAAGGTGAAAGGCTGGAAATGGGAGGGCCTTGAAAAACACTGTCTTGAATATCCTGTGGGGGTTATGAATGGTAACAGTAACTTGAATGACAACTTGGCTTGCTCTGGGATGAAGTGTTAAATGGACTGATGAACTGACAGATAAACAGCTGAGGGTGCTAAGCTAGCAGAGCAAAAAGACTACTTCAACAACAGATTTCAAGAACTGTCATCTCAGCTAGGCAGAATCAGATGACAGAGACGAGTGAGGACAGAAGAGAAGAAATGGAGGAGAGAGATTACAGTGACTCAAGAATGGGTGAAGAGACAAACAGGGGAGAGCAAGCAAGAAGTTGGTTCAGTTATTTGGCAGATGTCTGTGTGACTGTCTTGTCAAACACATCCACGTCAGGCTTCCACATTTACCATTCTCACTGTTATTCCTACAGTAATCGTACAACAAACATAAACACACCAATATTCAATATGCTTTTCATTCAGCCAGAACGGAACACCAGCATGTGGTTTTTCCGCTCTACATGTCTCCCACACCCTAACACCCACACACTGATATAAGTGTTCTTCCATCCTGCCTCCTTCTATCAGAATCCTTCATGGTCAGCAACAGGTACAGTTGGATACCTCTGGTGATACTTGTTGTGGTTTGGGACATAAAGTACAGGTGTTGTTTGCCATAGACAAGAATGTCTAAAGTTTTATTTCTTATTTATTTCTGAACTCTTTGAGATACGTTTGAGGATGTATGTGCAGCACTCTGGATCAGGCATGTAGTTTTTCATTTTTTATGGTCTAATATTACCCGTGCATGTAGTATAGTGTTAAAATGTCTTTATCTTTATTTTAAAATGTATTGCAAAATTGTAATCCTGCTAATAATCTCCATTTTAACCATGTGTAACTAGTGTAGGTTTTTTTGTTATATGATGAGCTGCTGTTAACTTCACATTATTGCTGTTAATGGTAAAAATCACAGCTGTACAGCTATTGCAACTATTACTAATGCTTGTACTATTTCTACCAGATCTAACACTAACTTATTTCTGACTTGCCATAATGTTAGTTTATCTGTTATTACAATTAATTATCAAAATGAAAATTTTATATTCCTGTAATTACATATTGAGAACACATCAAATGCAGTGATTTAGGGTTCAAAATATCGGCAAGATATTGAGGTCCAATTGCTTGATTATTCAAGTTATCTCTAAATGATTTTACCCTTTAAAATATAAACAATAAAGTTATCAGCATTATCAGGCTGTAATAACATATTAGTTTGATTCATAATACAGACATATGTAATACATTTCTGATTATTCAAAACACAATTGAAGGATGTATTTATTATACGTGCTGATTAAAAAATAATACATTATGACGTAGTATTTAACAGAATGTAAAACATTTTAATCCTTTAAGGGCCAAAGTTGCAAAATTGTGACACGACACGGTACTGAATCAAACAGCTGTTTTCTCCGAATAGAGTGTTATATCTCATTCATACTCCCCTCCTCTAGTTGGCAGACATCCTGTACTTAGACCTTAGCTCAGAAATATGTCATGCTTCAATGCAAAATGTTCGAGGAAGTCCCATCCAAACTGTTGGGTGAGAAACCGGACATAGTGTACCACGGCACTATTTATGCTGAAGCGGTATTGCTGGATTTAGGAGTTATTGAGACAAAATAAACGAAAATGATAAGCATGACGCTTAGGGAAGTTATGGGTCTCCTATTTGCTGATCCTGATTCTGAAGGGGAAAATCTACCTTTGGGAGATGACGGTCGTCACAGTGCGTCTTTGCATAGCAATGGCAAAAAAAAAAAAAAAAGTCACTAAATTAGTTACTCAGTTACAAATTATAAAAGTAACTAGTTACTTCAGAAAGTAACTATTGCATTACTTTCAAGTACATTTTTAAATGCTTAAATGTGACCCCACCTCCACCCCTCTTCAACTGAACTCAAAATACATGTGCATGTTCAATTATTTATGATAAATCTGAATATTATAATGAGATGGACATTTAATACAAAACATTATTAACAGAAACAATGTACACAAGTCTAAACTATTTTAATGTTGCTGTGGGACAAAGTGAGACTAGCCTCCAATCAAATGCCATGTATGTAGATATTATGTTTATATAGTGGTTCGATACAAATAACACAATAGATGTTTTGGAACTTTTGATATTTATTGCCCCTCAACAGGCCACAACTGGGCAAAATTAAATTATGCTTGTTAAGCACTATACCAAAAATAAATAACAAATATATACACTCTTTGTAGTGCAAATAAAACAAAAAAAAACTTCAGACAATTGGTAGATATACTGTACTTCAAGTATTTTCTTCCTCGAAAAAGTAGAACAGTGTAACAATATGAGGTGCTTTCAATCTAACTGAAAAGTACAATGTATAGCAAAAGTAAGGAATCCAAATATAAACAGGTAATACATAAGAAATAAAAAATACATCTTGATAAAAATAAATCTCTTTCTCTGGCCATTGACAATCTCACTTCAAGAGGCTGCAGCCAGCCAACAAATAAATCTAAATTAAATTATGCCCTTTAAGCAATGTACCAAAAATGTATAGAAAAAATATATACACTCTTTTTAGTGCAAATGTAATAAGATACAACACAACTCGCCATACCTGTCTCTCGTTGACTGACTCGCTTGTGTTGTTCGTTGTGTGTCCGACTATGCGTGCTTTCGAACACCCGCCCAACTCTTCCTCTGATTGGCTTACCATGAAATTTTACCCAACCTCAGCCAATCGTCAGCATTTATGCACTTGTCTCGTGTACTGCCCACTAACAAAGAAAGAACAGTAAAAAAAAAAGTATTTGCCTCTCGGCTCAGGGATCTAGTTGGTCTGATAAAAAAAACAGCTTCAATTATAGTAACGCGCCACATTTTTTGGCAGTAACGGTAATGGTGTTATTAAGATGGGAAGAGTAATCAATCAGATTACTCGTTACTGAAAAAAGTAACGCCGTTATTTATAACGCCGTTATTTATAACGCCGTTATTCCCATCACTGAACATGACAAATGGATGGAGGGGGGTGAATCTGATGAAATAAGTTCAACTCTCTATCAAAATATCAGGTATTTCATGGAAATTACATAATCCAATATGGCTGCCGCCATATGATGTCATAATATGCAAATTAGATGGGGAAATTTACTCCCTAGATAAACTTTAGGTCATTCTCAATATTTGTCTCAATTACACTCTGTCTCTATCTCAAACCACTTTCAAGCCAGAGCCTTCTGAAATTTAGATGTCAAAATCTAGTATTTTTAAAAATAAAACCCGGCGCCTAAAGGATTAACAATTTTTTGTAATTAACAACCTGAACCAAAATAGTAATAGATTTTCCTACATTATTATTATTGAAGACAGTCAGGAACACTTTTGTCATAATAACTTTATTCCAAAGCAGAATTTTCCATTTGCCCTCCTTGCCCTTCCACATGCCCACGTGGAAAACCTTAAGGCAGGGAGAGCACACCTCCCTGCCCTTCCATGTGCATCTTCCCTCAGCATCACCGTCACCTTTGAACACCACCTCCAGAATCGACTACTGCAACAGCACCCTGTACGGCACACCATCCAAAACCTTAAATAAACTCCAGTACATCCAGAACTCTGCTGCTCGTCTGCTCACCCACACCCGCACCCGTGACCACATTACCCCTGTCCTCCAGAACCTCCACTGGCTCCCGGTCCCACAACAAATTCAATTCAAAATCCTCCTCCTCACACACAAAGCCCTCCATAACCAGGCCCCTTCCTACCTCACTGACCTGCTCCACCGCCACAATCCATCCCGTAGCCTCTGCTTATCTGACGCAAACCTCCTGTCTCCACCACCCAGGACCAAGCACCGAACCTGGGGCGACAGAGCCTTCTCTGTTGCTGCCCCCTCCCTCTGGAACTCTCTCCCCAAACTGCACCGACCTTACAGCGTTTTTAAAATTGCTTTTAATGTTTAGCTTAGTCCGATGTGTTTTTAGTGTTTTTACTATTTGATGTTGTTTTTCGCTGCTTTTATGATTTAATGTAAAATGTCTTTGAGTATTCAGAAAAGCGCTTACAAATAAAATGTATTATTATTATTATTATACATGGAAAAGTTTAAGACAAGGAGAGCGGCAGCAGAGACCCCCCAGGGTACAGAACAGAGCAAGCATCAATGGCAATCAGAAAATGACATTGATTAATTAGATACAAAATAAAAGGAGGAGCTGGCATGGAGGTGGGTTGCAAAACGGCTTGTAGAGGAATCAGCAAAGAAAGGCAGGCTAAAGCAGCTTAAATAAGGTGCCCTGAATGATATTTGCCAATTGGATGCTTGAGGGAATCAGCTGAGCTGTCAGCTGACTGTGTATGGTTTCCAATAGGAAGCTTAGCAGGAATCAGCTGAGCCATCAGCTGATGTGTGTTTAAGATTAGCTTTAATCAGTTGATATAGCTGGAATTGAGAGCTGAGCCTTACTTCGTGGCCTGCCTGAACTTATGCTATGCTTAATTTTTGCTGTCTTTTTACAAAACTTGGGAATTGCACTTTTTTTAGAAACTGCATTTTGAATAAGCTGGAGTTTTTTGAATGCCTTTTAATGGAGCCCTGTCAAAAGAGGACTGTAGCAGTCAATATTGCTAGAATGTTCAGTCACTACTATTTGTGTAGTTGTTGCTACTGTTGTTGCTGTGCACCTGTATGTCTGTCTCTCTTTCTCTCAAATTCAATTCAAATTGGGCTTTATTTGTTAAGTTCACTTGTGACTTGGACCCCAAAGCAAAGACACACTCTCTGGTGAGTGGGAACCGAAGATATTTTAATAGAAATCCAAAACCGGAACTGAAGCGGGCAGGTGAGGCAGGGAGCTGGCTGGCAGGAGGATGTCTTCAGCAGACTTGCACAGGCAAAACTAGACTCGGGAAAGTAGGTGAACATCATGCCGGGTTGGAGCATGGAATCTTCTGACAGCGAGCAGGAGTGGAGACCGGGCTAATGAGTGAAGGGAATGGGCTGAGTGAAAACAGGTGTGCCAACAGGAGGAAGCCAGCCACACCCCCTGCCCCACACAAGCTCTGCAAGAAAACAGAAAGGGGAGGGCGAACAGAGAGAGGACAAAAAGAAAAGCACAACAACAAAGGCATAATAAACCAAACCATAACATTATTGGCATGAAAGTTTTTTAAAAAACAATATGCCAAAGCAAAGCATTCAAATACAATACAATAAATCAAAGATATATACATTATGAACATTATATTAGTTATACAGTGTGTGTCTGTGTGTCTGTGTGCCTCGATCATTCACTGTCCCTCGGGTTGTGGCATGTTAATATATACTGGGCAGCAAGGTGTGCCCGCTCTCCTTCTCCAAGGAGTATTTTTAATTTGGAGAGGTCGTTCAGCTCTTTGAAATCTGGTACTAAAGAGCTGAACTTGTTCAAATACATTTTTCTAGTATTATTTAATTTTGTACATTGTAGGAGAAAATGCATCTCTGTCTCAACCTCACCTGTCGAACAGTGACCACATTTTCTGTTTTCTTTTGGTTGCCATGATTTTTTGTGTCTTCCTGTTTCGATTGCCAGTTTGTGGTCACTGAGCCTGTACTTGGTTAGGATCTCTCTCTGCTTTCTATCTCTGACAGTAGAGAGATATTCTGCTAATTCATAATCTCTTTTAAGGGCAAGATAACATTCCAATCTACTTTGGCTTTTAGTTGTTTCTTCCCA